GTTGACTTAAATCATTTAATAATACTGCATGTCCTTGGCTGCGGGTAACTCGTTCCCCAGTTTTTTTCGGTGTCAGCTTCATTTTTACTTTCTGAAGCTTGTTTTTTACGTATATTGTAGGTGTTACACTGTTACCCATTCAACATTTTTAAATAAACCGATTTCCTCTAATCTGTCCAATTCTTTATCTATCTGTTCAATTGAAGCAAACAGCACATTCCGTTTCTTTTTGAATACCACCTGGGCGTTTTGTTTTGGCTGTAATTTTGCCTCCATCTTGGTACATGTTCCCAAACCTGGAGAAAAAAAACAGTAGGAAAAGTTCCCTTTAGTTTCCTAGCTAATTTTTGGGCTTCGCAGTTTAAATTTTCAACCTTGTAACAGAAAGAATTTATTGGTAAATCCCATAATTGAAATTCTGTTATCCAATCCGTACCAAGTAAGTTCATGGTATTTTCTATAACAAATAGTTTAGCTTTTCGCGTTTTTTTTTTTAACGTGACGTTTGTAACAAATTCTCCAATAAATTGTATTTTTTTTCTCCCGTCACTGACATCGCAATTTTATTTGTTTTCATTAAAGTTGGTTTCCCCAACTTCTTCCATGTATTCAAATTTATGATAGATAGGTCGGAACCAGTGTCGAGTTGCATTTTTATTTTTTTATTATTTATTTCGACGGTAACAAATTTTCTAGTTATTCCGTCGTTCACTTCGTTGGACTTTAATTTTCTTATTTTATTGTCTTTATTTTTTGACCTGCAGTGCGAGCTTTTATGCCCAACTCTTTCACAGTTGAAACATTTTTTATTCCTAAAATTGCAATATCTATACCAGTGAAGTTCACTGCAAGCAAAACATGGCTTCGGGAGTTTTTGTTTATTTTTCTCTGGTATTTCACTTTTTGTTTGATAATCCGCAATTTTAGAATTTTTTTGGGTAGACTGACTTTCTTTTTTGTAGCGTATTTTTCTTACATGTGAAACGCCAGACTGTTCTATCTTTTTCGAGTCTTTCTTTACGCTAACATATCTTGTGCAGTCTTCTGCCAAACTCTGTATCGTAATACTTTGTTGGTTTTCCAATTTTGAAAATACCAATTTCCTCAATTCTGCGTTTCTTTCGGATACTAGACCTTGAACAAATACTAAGCACTTAAAATTATCCATGCTTAAATCTGCTATCTTGAATTCTTCACAATGCTTGTTCACATTAGCTGCATCCGTTATAAAGTCTTGTTCATCCTCTTTCATCAGATTCAAACATTTCCACCTCTTGTGAAACAAAGATGTCTTTTTACTAAATAATTCACTTAATATATTTACCACCTCAGTAAAAGTTAACTCGCTAGTTTTTTTTCGGTAAAATGTAGTTTACCAATTTGTTATGGTCAGCAGTTCCTAACTTGCTTAAAAGAAGTCTAACCTTCTTTCCTTCAGACCACGTGTGGCAGTCCTCATTATACACGTCCGTATATTTTTTAGAATACTCTTCAAAAGTTATCTCTTCGTCTGGACTGTATGTGAATATTTCAATCGAATTCCAAATTGTATTCTCTGGGAAAGAATCATTTCGTAGATTTTTCTCTTTCCTCTTCTCAGTTATTTCCAGAATTTTGTTTTGAAACTCCTTATGCATCAGTTCCATTTCTCATTGAAATTGAATCTGTCTATTAAAAGTTTCCTCCTGAAGTTGTATCTGGAATGTTTTCTTCTGCTCTAATATTGTCTTTTTTGTTCCGTCTGGAACTTAAAAATTCCTGGAATATATTTTTGCATTCCTCCATCTTCGCAAAAAGTTTACACAATGCTTAAATATTGTAGAGGGGGGTCCAAAACGAATTTGTAATTCGTGACCTATTTGAGCAAACTGTCTTATCGAAAAAAAAAAAAAATTCTTTTCTCCGTTGAGAATACGACTGATTCTTTCGTCACTAAGTTGACGTCTTGTTTTTTGAAAACTTTTCCAAGTTTTTTTTTTTTTTCTTTTTTTTTTTTAAATGTGAATCCATGATGTTGTCGCCGAAAATTTGACGAGCAATTTTTTTTTCTTTTTCCTCTGTATGAAAAACGAATTTTGTCACTAAATAATGTGAGCGAATTTTTTTTTTTTTTTTTTTTTTTTCGTACACCACATTTGTTATGGCGGGTTACTTTTTTCTCTCTCTCTTCTGTATGAGTTATGAATCCACGTTGACAAGTGTTGTAGAGTGAATGCAAAGTTTGTTTTTTTTTTTTTTTTTTTTTTTTTTTTTTGTATAAATCCAAAATACGTTCGTCGCCAAGTGTTGTATATGGCGAAATGATTTTTTTTTTTTTTCTTGTGAATTTCGAATTCTGGTCGCCAATATGTTGTTATAGAGATAACGAAAAATTTTTCTTCTCCCGTATGAATTACGAATTTCTTGTCGCCAATGTTTTGTTAGGCGTACGAAAAGTTTTTCCTTTCCCGTGTGATTTTGAATCCTTGGTCGCCAATGTGTTGTAAAATGAACGAAAAAATTTTCTTTTCCTGTGTGAGGAACGAATCCCTCATCGCCAAATGTGTTGTAGAGTAGTTTTCACAGTGGAGGCTTATATTTCAATAAGTCGTTCTAAATTAGGTCCGACGTACAAAACGTTAGGAACTTGAAATAAGAGTTAATGACACAGCAATCTATTTGTGATGGTTGATACTTCAATGTCCGACAGACTCGCTCAACTGGCGACCACTACTACTACTACTACTACTTATGTGTGGGAGAGTCTATTAAAATAGAATAAGTATTATGGTATAACAATTAATCAGGTGTTCAACATTGTAGGAAGCAGAAAAATTGAATTGTTACATTTTCTGGCATATAGCACACATTTAACAAGGAAGAAAAGTTGAATTGATTTTTATATTTTAAATTATCATAATCATTAATCATATACACTTAATTCTGGGGTCACAAGGGAACAGTCGGTCAAACAAAAGATTTAGTGTCAATGTCCCAGCTATGGATTAAATAGTAGAGCAGAATGGGTTGTGCATCTTTAGTTGACAACCAGTCTAGAAGAATGATAATTATGAATTCAAAACTGGTTGGACTAACAAATTCATCCCATTTATTTATATATAGGACTGATACAAATAAAATTTGTCACTTAAATGAGTGATGTTATATTTAGCACCTTAATTACAATATTTCATAGACCCTTTTTTTTTTTGTGTGTGTGTATATATATATATGTGTGTGTGTGTGTGTGTGTGTGTGTATATGTGTGTGTGTATATATATATGTGTGTGTATATATATATATATGTGTGTGTGTGTGTGTGTGTGTGTGTGTGTGTAGGTAGCAATCCTTCTTTCATGTACATTTCATTAAATATGATAGACAGGGAGCTTTGATTTAGTGTTTTTTTTTTTTTTGTTTTTTAATACAATTTCTCATGCGATCTAATAAATTTTTTTCTTTTCAGATGATAAATTATTATATAAAAACTGTCTGAATGTTCTTTTTTTTTTTTTTTTTCCTGAACTCTTTCGGCTATACATCTAGCCATTTTAAGGATGAAATATTTTAACTGTATGTGAATTGAAAGCCTTATTAATAAAAACAAAAAAACTAACACTCAATAATAGCAACTATGAACATGGAAACAATATCATGATCATGTTTCTAAAAATGAAAACATTATATAAATACATACATGCAACAAACTATTTCTTATTTAACAGTTAAAATATTTCATCCTTGAAAATGGCTAAATGTAAAGCCGAAAGCACTCAGAAAAAAACATTTGGACAGTTTTTATATATATTTATCATCTGAAAAGAAAAAAAATTATTAGATCGCATGAGAAATTGTATAAAAAAATTAAATCAAACCACCTTGTCTGTTGTATTCAATGAAATATCTACCTATAATATATATATATATATATATATATATATATATATGATCTCCTATGTGCTTTGGAAAAGGCAGTAACAATGCCTATTGTGTTGAGAGCTGTGGGTCCCATACTCCTGAATGGCATCTACAGGACATAAGTGAATAAGGGAGGAGTTAGTACCAATAATTCAAACATCAGTGTCAAAGACACTGTGTTTTTTTTGTTTTTTTTTTAAATGTGACTTACATGATGGATATATTATAAGGATGTTAACTATAGCTTCAGTTTGTCTCACAGCTATATCAGAAAGGTAATGTTTTTTGTTTGGAATGTGGGGGGGTTATTATTTCATCCCAAGCAAGGCAATAATGCCACTAAGATACAAGGGGTTACTGAGTGTGAGACAACATGAGGAAAAGATAAGCATTAAGGTGAGAGGATAATAAAAGAACTGAATTAAGTAGACAGAAAATGATGATTGACATTGCATTTAAATGTAAGAAAGTATTAAGTACTTTCATTTGAATGTTAATTTATTTAGCAACAAGATTTCTTCCACTTGAAGGTAAAACTTGTATTTATTGCAAAATCCTGACTGTGTCCACAGGATATAAATCTTCCACATAGAACTGAAGATCGGTATTTATTTCTATGTTGACTGAAATGCAACAATATTGCTGTGTTTTCCACCTGACACTTCCCAGCCAATTTCCTCTTTACTTAGATGACCTGGATTCAGTGGCTATTTCATGATACATTCCCTTTGGAAAAAAAAAAGAAGATTTATATAATTGTTATTGTCTAGTGCAAATGGTCACTTCATTAATAATTGATATGGTAGAATTATTCTGTCTTTGTACAATTTGTTAATGCTTGTCTCAATTTTGTATGCAAGACACATCAAGACCAGGTTATTAGAGAAGAGTAGCACTTACTTCTGTGGATTCTCGCCATCTGCTTGTCAACTTTGAAATATCAGTGAGTATAGATATATGAGGATAGATCAATAAGTCTGGCACAACTATTAGCTGAATTTACTTCTGAAATTTTCATTGTATAATGTTTGCACAATAGCAAAATATTAAGTAAAATGTATTGACAAGAAAGATTGTTGAAAAATATTTGTTGTGTAAAATAAATGTCTCTCTCTCTCTCTCTCTCTCTCTCTCTAAGGCAACTGGCTGATACTGACCTCTGTATATACAGGTTAATTTTATTCAGTCATTAAAACATTAAAACCAAAAACAAGTCGGTTGCTTAAAAAATAAGCGGAAACATCTGGTGGGTTTTTCTTTTCTTTATAGCAAAAGGCAGTCTTATTCTGTTGTACTCAGTCCTGTTAACAAGTGTGCAATAAGCTAATACTTGTCACATACTTTTCTTTTTTGTATCAGTGACAATGTTAAGTATGAAAGGAAAATTATGGGGAGTTGAAATAAACTCCAGTATATACACTATAGACCAAAATTTTTGAGAACACCCCCTGGGTTTATTAATTAGTTATGTTTATACCTCTTTTGGTTTAATTAATTCCTAAGCTTGGATTCTGAAACTGGCATATTAATAGAAGGCATCCAATTTTTTAGAAAGAGGCTTACTTAAAACTGAAAATCTGCCAGCCCATTAGACAGCAAGGTAGATTAAGTAAAAAGAGCATAAATTTTAAGGCGACATTATGTTGTAATGGGTTACTTTCATTATCTATAATATTATTGTGCTATGGTCTATGTCAGTAAAATGGCTGCTGATGCCTTTCAAGAGCAAGTAATCAATGTGAATTTATTAATTAAAATATCTGCAATTGTTGTTAAAATTATTAAAAAAAAAACAGATAACAAACACCAACATTTTAAGGTTTTAATTATGTAAATACAAAGCCCTATTTAATTAAACATTGGCTTAATTCTTTACGTCCGTAATTCAGCATAATCTGTCTTTGTATTCTAAGTAAAACCATGGACTTTCTAAAAAAAAAACAAAAACGCATTTTAAACTAAGTGCCTTTGAACTTAAATTTTGGTTTTATTTAAAAGATAATGGCCTAAGGCTAATCTGAATTAAAAAAAAAAAATTAATTTTCATATATAATTTCTTTTAAGCATTTTTAAAACATTGGTAGTTTTTTTTCATCACTCATTTACTCATCAAGCCACCATTGTATACAAAAATGTAAATAACTTAAAATTCTCTTTAAAATCCAATATTTAGTCTAGAGATGCATTTCAAAGTCTATTAGCAAACTTAAGACTTTATTAAATGGATTTTCTAAAATGTAATACTTATTTTTATATAAAACAATGAAAATAATATTTTATTTACACACAGTAGCCTGTGAAGTCAAAGGACAAAGTAGAAACACTAATTTTATCCCTGTCCGAAAAACAAAAATACTGACTGAACGGGAGATATGAAATTAGATTACTATCATAATACTTTTCAGATATTGAATAGTATTAAGTCAAAGTGAGATATCAGAACTATGTTCTTTTTGTACATCCATATCAAAAATAATGTAACAGTTGCTAAAAGGTAAAAATTAAATAAAATCCTTTTAAAAAAAGATTTGCACTTAAAAATGGCATTAAAAATTACATTGTTTTATTCTTCAAACATGTCTTTATTTAATAAAAGAAACTTTCGTGACAAAGATCATTGGGATGAATTTCAAAATTAGTAATTTTTTTTTTTTTTTTTTTTTTTTTTTTTTTAATATTACATGTATCTTTTTTCTTCTGTCTAATTAGAAATAAAATAAAAAATTTTATTATTTATGGAAGTATGAATTCTCAAAAAAATTTACTTTTGAAGTTTTATTCAATTATTTTTGGTAAGATGTGGGCCAAATTTTGTGTATGCTCACACTCTATATTGTATAAAATTTATACTCAAGTATCTTCAGGGATTTTTTGTTATTTAAAAAAAAAAAAAAAAAAAATAGACAAACACGCCTCAAATTAAAATGTATACATGAGATATCAAAATCAGGGTGGGTGAAACATACCTCCTAAAAATATTTCCCCAAAGTCTTTTTAATAAAAAAAAATTTTATTTAGGGAAATGTTCATTCATTAATGAACAGGTACCAGAAATTTCTTTTCAATTGGATAATCCCCTGATTTTTGAAAAATATTTATTTTTTTCTTTTTTAAATAAAGAATAAAAAAAATGATATTCTTAAACTATTGGTTAAAGAAAATGTATTTTTAAACATAGATAACAACTCTTGATTATTGTCCTGCTGGTCTTCTATATTTCTTTTGGTTTTGTTTTTACTTTACTGAGCAGGGGTAAAATTACAGTATTTTTACATTGTCCTTTAACCTCATAGACTAATGTGTGTAATTTTCATTGTCTTTAGCAAAAGACAAGCATTATTTTCAGAAAATCAAGTGAATTACATTTTAAATTTACTAATATATATCTCTAGGACAAATAGTGAATCTTAAAGGAAATTTTAAATTTGTTGTTTACATTTTTTGTATACAATGGCAAATCGAAGAACTAAAAATTATACTAATGCCTAAAAAGTTTATTTATATGTACAGAAATTAATTATTCTTTTAATTCAGATAAACTTTAGGCATTATTTTTCAAATAGAACTGAAATTTAACTTTAAAAAAAAGCATTTAAAATGCTTTTTTTGGCTCCCCCCCCCTTGTTTTTTCTTTTAGAAAGTCAATGACAGTACCTATCATTTCTACGTAGTTTGTATATTTTTGGTGCAAACTTCAAAAAATCACTTAAAGGTTTCTTCATGTAAAGTTGGGTCTTATGGAATTCTGGGAACCCCTAACTGCAAAATATATCTAATATAACTGTAACAATGTTAGAAACCGATTTTAGAGTTTGACTACATCCTAGGAGATTGACTTACTATGAATTTCTATTACAAACAGAGCAAACCCCTGAACTACTTTAAAGAAATATACCATTTATTTTACACTTCTTATGAACACAAATTAGCCTGATCCAGAGTTATTTTGCAAATAGAAACTTTATTTACAGCCCTATGTACACTTACCTTTTCTTCATATAGTATCTACTTAGTTCGTTTTCCTTTCTGAAAAAAGGCCTTTTGAGCTTTTATTCATATAAAATCAAATCTTAAAAAGTAGTTGGCAATCTTAATCATGCAATATATCGAATAGGCAACCCTCTGTATAAATCTAGGTTTGAAATCTGCCTAATATCCTGTCTAAATGTCTGTAACCCTTAATGAGCAATTTATCATGACCCTTAATTTAATTAAAATTTAATTAAATCTTATTTCCATTTCTGATGAAAACCAAAATTAGCAGTAAACTTTTTATAATTTTTTTTAAAGGTCTTACTCAATTCAATATTTAAATTCAATTGTAATTGTTTTTATATTTTTTTTATTATTGTAGTTAAATATTTTTATTTATTTAATTTATAATTTATTTTGTTTAAAAATCTGGTTGTTTCATATTTAAATTTATTCAAATTTAATTTACTACTGAAGGTTATATTGCCTTTGTTCTATTTCAGGATGAAGATTGACAGTATAATAAGTTTTCCCTTGTATTTTTTAAACAATGTCAGGTGTAATTTTTGTACCAAAAAGACACAAATGAAGATGCACTCTTGTAGTTGCAAATATTTTCCCTGAATTTGACTAAACTGCAGTATTGAAAAAATTTTATGTATGTTTATGACTAATTAAAATTTTATTAGCAATTCCCACAGTCTTTATTAGAACATTTACCTGTATAGTATAAAATGAGTGTATTTTCATTGAATATATAGCAAAAATGTATATTTGGAAATGTAAGATCTCATAAATATTTTTTGAAAAATCTATTTTTCCATAAAATCTTTCAGACCAATCATGAGTAATTAAAATTGCAAAGAGGTATGCATAAGTAATTTATTTCTGATGTTAATCTTGACAACGAGTAAACAGTACTTAACATTCATAATTTAATCTAAAAATCAGTGCTATAAAAACTCTGTAGAATTTCCACAGGTACAGCTAGTTATTAATTCAAAGGGAGATTACTAGGAAAAAACCTATTCCCGAGAGGAGATAGGCAATTTCAGTTTTTAGGTGATTCTCCAATATCCAGGGGCTGACCCCACCACAAAACCTTTGGCTTATAGTGTATTTGATTTTTCACCATATGCTCAATATATGTTAGTTTATACTCATCTTGTTTTGCATGGGGGCGTGGTGAATTGGTTACAAAACAAGTCTTCCAACTAGAAGAGACTGGTTTGAATCTCACTATGGTTGATTTGTCAAGGAGGTGTCTTCTTGCTAATAGCAACTGGGCAGATGATTGCAGCATGTGGCAATGTTGTGAAGTGCTTGGAAACCATACCACGGGTTGACCCAAGTCTTATGAGGGAAACTGTTTAGACAAAACTATTCTGATGTCATCGTATGCAAGAGTTTGAGTATACATGATCATGCTGGGTTATGTGCTTTCTATCTCTCAAAAACTCCAAGGTCCATTCAGCATAGTTACAGTATAAACTGCATGTTGGCTCTCTGGGTTTTTGTTGAGATGTTGAGTGTTTCCCCGTGTGTGTATTGAAATAAGGACAAACACATACGTAGGGAAAAATACTGGTATATCTGAAGAGGTATTTACAACAGAGAGATTAGTAGTCAAACGAACGCAGGTTAGTCAGTAACAATCAGAAAGAGTATAAAGTCCAACTGTATCTTTCGGTAGAGAGACAGAAGTGTGATGGTCACCTGACCTCCCAGAACTCTATAGAACCGTCCTATTAGTAGTAGAGAGATCAGTCCATTTTGATGAGAAGGTGGGTGGCCCCAACAGTTTTAAAGAAACATAAATGTACCCAAGAAGGTATCTCCATTAGGGATTAGCTAACCACCTGAGTAGATGGGTATACTCACAAACAAGTAGCTAGCTATGTTTTTTTGTTGTAATATCTATGAAAGTAAACATTTTGTTCCCAATGGTTAAAATAATGGCTTTCCTGAGGGGAAAAATTCTTTTGACATTTATAATAGTAAAAGATTGTGTTGTTTTTGGTGTTTTTTTTGTTTTGTTTTTTTTTTTTTATCTCAAAAGACAGGTAACCAGAGCATTTCTGCCAGATAACATTTTTAAGGCAAGCAGTCTTTATAATCATGTGCTCAATATTAAAAAATAGACCATTAACAACAAACAAATAAAATTCTATGTTCAACTTATCTTCACTATTTACATTATTGGAACTACTGTATCATCTTTTTTGCCACATTTATCACAATGTTTCAGCTGTTGTATGCGCCAGCCTTCTTCAGGTGGTTGGAATGTCGAACTGAACCCTTTATTTCGCTCACTGGGGTAGACAGTTCTAGTTCCACATGCCATGTTTTTAATGGATGTCAGTTATCAATTATCTCCTGTTAATTCTCCTCTCCAAGTTCTCCACTGCCTTAACCAGGTATTGAAATCACAACTCTTTGGGTCCTGACACTGGATCTAACCAACACCTTTATCCACTGTGCTATGTGTCCTTAAGGATAGCTGATAACTGACATTCATTAGACATGGCACTAGAACCATGTACCCCAGCAAGTGAAATAAAGCATTCAGTTCAACATTACAACCATCTTATATATATATATATATATATATATATATATAAATTATTTTTTTTATTTTTTTTTTTTTTTTATAGACACTGTCACTGGATCTAACCAATGCCTTTATCCACTGTGCCATGTGTCCTTAAGATAATTAATAAAGATAATGTAAATAGTGTACATAATACCTCATCTCAGAAATATAGACAGATACTAAACTTATTTTTTCAACTCAGAGTTCTGCAAACATGGTATCCACTTGTCAGGCATTTAAATAGTAAAATCTAATCTTAAATTTACTATCTAATCACCCGATGTGTGGATAATATTCCTGCAAAACTTTGAGCCAGAAAGATAAATTGCTAATGTTGCTAAATCAAGCTATCTCAGGTATTCACAAACCTAACACACCATCCACCACTGTCCTGCTCAAAGTCACAAGGCCATTGAGATGGTATCCTGTCTCTCTACATAGTTGGTCAATGTAGGTGGTTGCTGGGTGACCAGCCAGTCTTGCGCCATGGATAGGTGTCCAGAGTAGTAGATCACTCACAAGTTCTTGTTTTGCTCACTGACAGTGCCCTGCAAAACGCATTCATATAAGAAAAAAGTTAGTCAAATTTAAATTGTTTTTATTTCTAGCTGTTTACTTTTTCATTTTCTGTGGTAGGATGACTCCATAATTTCTTTTTCATTGTTTTATTATCATTAGGAAAATTTTTAGATAAAAATGATAAAATGTGTGGTTGATCTTATGAAAATCATTTTTGCTTCTTTGTAACTTGGTAATGTACCAAGGTTAGGTTAGTACAGTCAAAGATAAAATCTATTAGGAACTCACTAATGCTAGTTTGTTAACTATTATTCTACAGTGAAGTGTCCAATTGTATAATTGTGCACTTAATTACTAAGTGAGACAGACTTGCTGATAAAGCAATGATAACAGAAATTTGGTTTATACATTTTTCCTTAACCACATGGAACCATGATAATTTTGTGCAATGTCATATCGGCAAAATATATGTTTAGATGCTTTAGGACAGTCACTGCTTTCACAATCTTCATCACTATGCAATTCCTTGATGCAATAAGAAAACTTAGGACAAAAAAAAAAAAAAGATTTGTATGATATTTCTTCAGCTGCTCCAGGAACAACATTCCTTGTATTATGTTGTCAGCCAATCCTAAATTGTTAATTACTGGAACTTTTTTTTTTTTTTTTTTTAAGTGATTATTTGATTCAAAACCTCAGATTTCCTACTTTAGATTTTGTTCCAGTTCTCTGATAAAGTAGATTATATTTTCTATCCACCCCCCCATTGACAAAGATTGTATACCCATATCGACAGAGGTATTTATTCTCTTTAATAATTTCTATCAAAATTGTTGATAACCCAAGTATAATTTGGCATTGGCATCAGAAAAACATAACAGAAAATAACATTCTTATATGAATGTCTTTTTAAATGAACAGTCTTGTTTAATGAAATTATATTTTTTTTTAACTAACAAATAGTTACTAAGCTCTACTTTTGATTAAAAAAAGAAAGAAAATGCCTTTCATGACTATAAACATTCAGTAGGTTGGATTGACTTTATAAATGGAGCGACTCTTAGTCCACGAAAGATTCTTAATAATGCAAAATTATGCAGGAAACTTCTCGGTCCAATCAAGTAAGGTTTTTTTTTTTTTTTGGGTTGTTTCATTCATCTAATCCCAAACAAAGTAGCAAAGCCACTAAGATGCAAATAATTATTGAGTGAGAAAATTATGAGGAAAAAAAACATTAAGGAAAGAGAACAATAAAAGAATTGGAATCTAGAAGAGAATAGATAATATTGCATTTAAATTTTTGAAAATCAAAGTTGACTGGGAAGTAAGAAGCCAGAAGAATTCCACAAGTGAGAAGAGTGAGAGAAGAAGTGAGTCAGTAGTTCATTTTCTGAGCGACTGATCGGTTCAACTCTGTCTCTGGATGGAGAGGAACCCGAAGGAGGCTACGCCGAAGGGCGGAGTCTCCTTCGGGGAGATAAAACCGGCCCTGAACCCGTTTCTACAGGTTCAAACGGGCATATTTTTGGGCCGAGCTCATGGGCTCGGGAATACCCACAATAAACAACCGACCTTGTGTCACATGTTGCCCCAGTGGGGGGGGAGACTCAATATCGTGAGAGAAGAAAATGTTAGCATAGAACTTATGGTTACATCTAGCCATTTCAACTGTAAAATAAGACCTTGCTGCCAATCTTGTACTGCGTTTAAATTCATAAAGTTTACATACTATAGAGGAATGTAATATTTATTTTGAATAATACAAAAATGTGACATAGAGGAAAGTTCATCAGAATAAATACCATGAAAGTATTTATAGAAAAGTCACAGGAAAGCTATGTTACAGCAGTGGGAAAGTAACTAAAGAAAGATGCTTGGCATTGCATTGTTTATGAGTTGCTATAGACCATATTCTAAGAAACCTGAATGTTTTTGGTTAACACCTTTTCTCTTCCATTCTGTCTGTGTAGAGCTTTTGAATTTGTTCTTTCAGAAGCAAAATATACAATTGTCAACAATCAAGGTGAGAAGCAGAAAAAATAGCTTTGGGATATTTTTTTTATAAGTAAATGATTTTTATCATTACAAGTCTATATATATACAATTGGGAAAATTTTGTTTGTTCTTTCCACAATATATGAGTCAAACGTTTTCATGTAGAATCCTTAAATTTTGTATATTTACTTAATAAACCCTGGGAGAAGTTTTAACTTATAAAAAAATATTCTTGTTTCTCAGGCAATAGATGGTGTCTACTTCTTTTCTCTAAGATGGATTTAGCATTCAAAGTAACAGTTACTATTTGTAACCATTCAGTGTAAAACTATCATTTCTTTTATTGATAGGAAAAATATTAGTGTGTTTTGAATGAGTAATTTCACTGAAGTTTTTCTCTTGAAATATTTTCACACATTTTTTTTTCATTAGAATTGTATGATGAACAAATGGGATCTATTTTAATTTTATTTTAGACAAACTAATATAACTGAAAAGTGTTGCTGCAAATGAATCTTGATGCAGGACAAATTTTCAATTGATAACGAAAATTGTAAAGTTGACATTTGTTAATTATACATTCATTTGTTTCATTTTTCTTATCAGTAGCTATGTGGACAACTTTCTGGGACTATGACATTATTTCATTGTCATAAATAGCATCCTTTAAGTCTTGAACGCATCACCAACATAGATAAGTACTACAGCTAATTATTATTAGTATTATAATTATTATTAGTAGTATTATTAGTTGTAGAAGAATGACTTGGAAAAGAACATGATTTAAGAAAAGAAAAGACACTGTTTAACAATATTTTGACAGTATGTCTGTTATGTTTAAAAAATTGTATACAAGTATGAAAAATATAAAAAAAATAAAGCATTTGTACAAAAGTCATTTGTCCTGAGAAAAACATAGTACTAGTAATCAGTGTGACAAAATGAATGAAAAGCAGTCTGTGAATGGAATGCAAGTGAAACTTAAGTAACATGATGGTGATAATTTCTGTTAGTAGGTTTAGTTTTGTTGCATTGTGTTGATTACTAATGCAACAATATTTCTCAAAACAAGTCATGTTTGTAGAAAGACTTCTAATTTTTATACTTGTATGCAGTTTTTAAATGACTTAAAGAAGACAGACATGCTGTCAAAATATATTGTTAAACACTTTTTATTTTCCTTTTTCTCTTTTTAAATTGTGTTCTTCTATAAGTGTTGGGAAATATTGGAAGAGTTGCATCAGTTGTTTTGTTTGTTGTTATTATTATTAGAAGTAATAATAATAAATGATAATTTAGAGTACCTCATATTTTCAATCTTGAATCATTCTTGGATGCTCCAAGATTGAAGTCTTGGAATATTGACATTGTTCAAGAAATTTTTTTGCAGCCAATGATGAAAAAAGTGATCTTATCGTCTTCAATTAGGTATAATTTTGAAGATTGTATAACAAAGTAAATATTACTAAAAACAAGAGAATAATCTAATTCTACTTAATGAACATGTTATATTTTTAACTTTGTAAAAAGCATAAATTGGTCATTGTGGACATTTCTATTTGTAAAAGTTGTTGATGCTTCCCTTACATGCCCTGCTCCTTCAGAATGCAGATGATCATGGCTCTCTACAGTTTCCTGTTTTTGTTGCTCCAAGTAACTTTTGACTGTGTCATTCACACAAACTGAAGTGGGTAGCTTGCTGTTTTCCCCTTCTTCTCTTGCTTCTAGTATTTTCTGTGAGTGTTACATTTTCCAGGCCTTCTTTCTTCACTATGTGTCCTAGAAAAGTCTACTATCACTTTATGATTATAAGTATGTTTCATTTTACTTTGTATTTTTCTTGAAAACTTCCTCATTGCTTGCATATTCAATCCATAGTATACCCAGCATGCATCAGTTGATTCATCTGTGAGGAAATTGTCCAGTATTCACTGCCATATAGGAGATTAGGTATAACATAGCAGTTCAACATTCTTTTTCTAATGATATTCTCCTTTCTCTTAATACTTCGTTGATTTTTTGGAATTCACAATATTTAGCCTACATCTTGGACTGTCTTTTCATCTTTTGGACTTTGTCTTTTCTCTTTGCTCTATTTTTCTCTTTGCTCTCTTTTGCTCTATTTCTCTTTTTTTCTCTTTCTCTTTTTCTCTTTTCCTCTTTTCTCTTTTTTTTCTCCTCTATTTTCTTTTCCTCTATTTTCTCTCTTTTTTCTCCTCTATTTTCTCTCTCTTTTTTCCTTTCTCTATTTTCTCTTTTCCTCTTTTCTCCTCTATTTTTTCTCTCTTTTCCTCTTTTTCTCTATTTTTTCTCTTTCCTCTATTTTCTCTCTTTCCTCTATTTTCTCTCTTTCCTCTATTTTCTCTCTTTCCTCTATTTTCTCTCTTTCCTCTATTTTCTCTCTTTCCTCTATTTTCTCTTTTCTCTCTCTCTCTTTCTGATCTTTTTCTCCTCTCTCTTCCTCTCCCTTTCCTCTCTTTTTCCTCTCCTCCTTTTTTTTTGCATAATGAACCCAGATATGAATTTGAGATTGATGTTATAGTTACGCTGACCTCAATCTTTTCAACCAATACTCAAATATCTATTATATAGATTCAGTTTATTTTTACTTTTATCATTATTTGAAATAAATAATACTAACAATTACAGTTACTAATCTCTGCTTTTGCTATTTTAAAAAGTGCCTTTCATGACCATACACATTTAGTAGGCAAGTCTTGATCTATGAAAAATTCTAAGTAATGCAAGATTATACTGAAAGCCTTCGTGTTTTTCCCCACCTTTTTAGCTACTCACCAAGTCAATAAAATTATAACAATGAGCAGATATTCTCTTATAGAGGCCTCATGCCTAGAGCACCTATTGGAATTTAAGCTCAACCCAAACCTCGTGTAACTTGTACATACAATCCATCACTAAAGATGCTGGTTCCCTGTATTGCTCTAATAAGTACCTGTCTCCTCCTTTACTCTAATTTTATAAGAGCCAGATCAACCTGAAAATGGAATACTACTGCCATATGGGCAGGAGCTACAAAGTTTTCACTTTCCAGTCTTGATAGTCCAAAAGCATCTCCATAACCTTGTAGGGGAGAAATTATTTTCCGCTCTACAATCCCTTTCCCCACAGTCAGAACATTGCAAGAATCTTGCTGCTCTTTTGCTATTTCCATGAAAAGTGTTCAGATGAACTACATTCCTTAGTTCCACCAGCTCTAACCTTTTATAGCAATCACCCTCATTCCCTTTGTATTCCATTGGTGAGATGTATGTTCCACTTGGGCAGCTTCTTTCCAGGAACCACTGTTTTGTGCAACTGACTCCCAAGAGGATGCTTCCCCAATTACTACAATCTTAACCTGTTCAAGTCTAGGATTAACCATTATCTTCCCCACATATCCCCATAAAAAGTGCCTCTTTCTCTGTAACCCTCTATTCTTGGGCTTTGTACAGGCTGCACATTATTGTAAAATAAAAAAATTATTAAAATCCTATCATGTTTGTCAGTAACACTTTCTTTAATTTCTGAGCAGTGAAAATCTTTTTCTCCCTTATTTTCAACCTATGACATACAGATTTAAGTACTAGGACTTGATTAAACAAATTTTAGGTTAAAAAATTGCAGAATGTAGTTGTCTATTTTTACTATCTATTTTTTATCTTTTATCTGTAAGAATTGTTGCAGGAAAATAACAAAGATGAGAAAATTATTCTGAATTCAGCACAATAAGATAACTGAAAACTTTGCAAATCAATTCATTTTTCCTCATTGTCAGGACAATTTCCTCTTTTTCTTTTCATGGAAAGTAAAATTTGTCATCAAATTATCAGACGTTAGCATCAAATCTACAACACAAAATCTTTCCAATGCCATAAGTGATCATCTTTGCCATCTTGACACATCTACAATGAAGAACAAAAAAAATGATGCTGGAACATTTTATACATAAAAGTATTTTTTTATTACTTGTATGCATTCTTAAATAGACATAAGGTGGAATCTTAAAAAATGGTTGAATAATGCAGATAAGGTATCCAAAATTATTAATGATAGTGTCTGACAAGAAGAAATTGCTGAACAGCTGTAATAAAAAAAAAAAAATAAAAATAAAAAAAGAGGAAAGAAAAAGAGAAATACCTCAATGGCAGAATTAGTTATTGATCTGCAAATCTATTCTTGTAATGAACAAAGATACTAACTCAAGATGGTTGCTATGGTTACTCTGATGTCATTCTTTTCAACCAACTCTAAAATATGTATTTCTATGGCACTAGATTCTTTTATTTTTGTTTTTCATTTCATATTACTTGAAAATGAACAACTTCTACTGGCAGAAGTTGTAGGTTATGTTGGGTTAAGATGTCTTTCAAAATCATTAACATTTAGTTGGTGATATATTTTCTATTTATTTCAAGATTGACTTGATTCAAGAAATAGCAATAAGGGAAATTCCAACCTATTATTATTATTTTTTTTGTACCTTGTTCTTTTGTCTTCATTTTTTTCTTCTCTTCATTTTTTTCTTCTCTTCATTGTTTCTTACTACTTTTGTTCTTTTCGTTTTTTCTCTCTTTGCTCATTTTTTAAGTTCACTCGCTCTTTACACTTTCTTTTTTAAGTTCACTCGCTCTTTACACTTTCTTTTTTAAGTTCACTCGCTCTTTACACTTTCTTTTTTTTTTTAAGTTCACTCGCTTTTTACACTTTCTTTTTTAAGTTCACTCGCTCTTTACACTTTCTTTTTTAAGTTCACTCGCTCTTTACACTTTCTTTTTTAAGTTCACTCGCTCTTTACACTTTCTTTTTTAAGTTCACTCGCTCTTTACACTTTCTTTTTTAAGTTCACTCGCTCTTTTACACTTTCTTTTTTAAGTTCACTGCTCTTTTACACTTTTCTTTTTTTTTAAGTTCACTCGCTCTTTACACTTTCTTTTTTAAGTTCACTCGCTCTTTACACTTTCTTTTTTAAGTTCACTCGCTCTTTACACTTTCTTTTTTAGTTCACTCAACTCTTTTACACTTTCTTTTTTAGTTCACTCGCTCTTTACACTTTCTTTTTTACTAAGTTTACTTTCTTGCTTTTGCTTTACTCTTTACACTTTCTTCTTTTTTGTTTTTCTCGCTCTTTACACTTTCTTCTTTTAGTTTTACTCGCTCTTTACACTTTCTTCTTTTAGTTTACTCGCTCTTTACACTTTCTTCTTTTAGTTTACTTCTCTTTACTTTTCTTTTTGGTTACTTTCTTTTCTTTTTTAGTTTACTTTCGCTCTTTACACTTTCTTCTTTTAGTTTACTCGCTCTTTACACTTTCTTCTTTTAGTTTTACTCGCTCTTTTACTTTTTCTTCTTTTAGTTTACTTTCTTCTTTTAGTTTACACTTTCTTCTTTTAGTTTACTCGCTCTTTTACACTTCTTCTTTTGGTTTACTCGCTCTTTACACTTTCTTCTTTTAGTTTACTTTCTTCTTTTGCTCTTTTACACTTTCTTCTTTTAGTTTACTCGCTCTTTACACTTTCTTCTTTTAGTTTACTCGCTCTTTACACTTTCTTCTTTTAGTTTACTCGCTCTTTACACTTTCTTCTTTTAGTTTACTCGCTCTTTACACTTTCTTCTTTTAGTTTTAGCTCTTTACACTTTCTTCTTTTTAGTTTACCGCTCTTTACTTTTCTTTTTTTGAGTTTACTCGCTCTTTTTACACTTTCTTCTTTTTTTAGTTTACTCGCTCTTTACACTTTCTTCTTTTAGTTTACTACTCTTACTCTTTTTTGGTTGCTAAGCTTTCTTCTTTTTTAGTTTACTCGCTCTTTTACACTTTCTTCTTTTAGTTTACTCGCTCTTTACACTTTCTTCTTTTAGTTTTAGTTTACTTTCTTTTTTTTTTCTTCTTTACTTTCTTCTTTTAGTTTACTCGCTTTTTACACTTTCTTCTTTTTAGTTTACTCGCTCTTTACACTTTCTTCTTTTAGTTTACTCGCTCTTTACACTTTCTTCTTTTTTAGTTTACTCGCTCTTTACACTTTCTTCTTTTAGTTTACTAAGCTCTTTACACTTTCTTCTTTTAGTTTACTCGCTCTTTACACTTTCTTCTTTTAGTTTACTAAGCTCTTTACACTTTCTTCTTTTTTAGTTTACTCGCTCTTTTACACTTTCTTCTTTTTTTAGTTTACTCGCTCTTTTTACACTTTCTTCTTTTAGTTTACTCGCTCTTTACACTTTCTTCTTTTAGTTTACTCGCTCTTTTACTTTCTTCTTTTTAGTTTACTCGCTCTTTACACTTTCTTCTTTTAGTTTACTCGCTCTTTACACTTTCTTCTTTTTTTTAGTTTTACTCTTTTACACTTTCTTCTTTTTCTTTTAGTTTACTTCTTTACACTTTCTTCTTTTGTTTACTCGCTCTTTTACACTTTCTTCTTTTAGTTTACTCGCTCTTTACACTTTCTTCTTTTTAGTTTACTCGCTCTTTTACACTTTCTTCTTTTTTAGTTTACTCGCTCTTTACACTTTCTTCTTTTAGTTTACTTTCGCTCTTTTACACTTTCTTCTTTTAGTTTACTCGCTCTTTACACTTTCTTCTTTTAGTTTACTCGCTCTTTTTTACTTTCTTCTTTTTAGTTTACTCGCTCTTTACACTTTCTTCTTTTAGTTTACTCGCTCTTTACACTTTCTTCTTTTAGTTTTAGTAACTCTTTACACTTTCTTCTTTTAGTTTACTCGCTCTTTACACTTTCTTCTTTTTGAGTTTACTCGCTCTTTACACTTTCTTCTTTTAGTTTACTCGCTCTTTACACTTTCTTCTTTTTTTAGTTTACTAAACTCTTTACACTTTCTTCTTTTTAGTTTACTAAGCTCTTTTACACTTTCTTCTTTTTAGTTTACTACTCTCTTTACACTTTCTTCTTTTAGTTTTACTTTTTTAGTTTCTTCTTTTTTAGTTTACTAACTTTACACTTTCTTTTTTAGTTTACTCATCTTTTACTTTTCTTCTTTTAGTTTACTCGCTCTTTACACTTTCTTCTTTTAGTTTACTCGCTCTTTACACTTTCTTCTTTTAGTTTACTCGCTCTTTACACTTTCTTCTTTTAGTTTACTCGCTCTTTACACTTTCTTCTTTTAGTTTACTCGCTCTTTACACTTTCTTCTTTTAGTTTACTCGCTCTTTACACTTTCTTCTTTTAGTTTACTCGCTCTTTACACTTTCTTCTTTTAGTTTACTCGCTCTTTACACTTTCTTTTTTAGTTTACTTCTTTTACACTTTCTTTTTTTAGTTTACTCGCTCTTCTTCTTTTTTAGTTTACTCGCTCTTTTACACTTTCTTCTTTTAGTTTACTCGCTCTTTACACTTTCTTCTTTTAGTTTTACTCTTTACTTTCTTTTTTAGTTTTTACACTTTTACTTTCTTTAGTTTAGTTTACTCGCTCTTTACACTTTCTTCTTTTTAGTTTACTCGCTCTTTACACTTTCTTCTTTTTTTTTACTACTCCTCTTTTTTACACTTTTCTTCTTTTAGTTTACTCGCTCTTTACACTTTCTTCTTTTAGTTTACTCGCTCTTTACACTTTCTTCTTTTAGTTTACTCGCTCCTTACACTTTCTTCTTTTAGTTTACTCCCTCCTTACATATTTTTTAAGTTTAAGGAGTAAATAAACTAAAGAGAGTAAAGAGGGATCTTTTACTTTTTTTTTTTTTTTTTTTTTTCTTTAACTTTACTCTTTTCTGTCTTTTTTTCTTTGCTTGCTCCCTTTCTGGTTCTCTCTCTTCACTTGTGAATGAAGTAAATTTCTGTTAGAATGAATTGATCTTTTACTTTGATCAAGTTAACTTTTTTTGTTGGATTAACTTTGAAGAGAAAACCAAAAACGTAGAAGAAAGGAATGTAGACCTTCTTGAATTTGCCATGAAAAGTATAAATCAATCTGATTCTTTTTTTTTTTTTTTTCTTAATTAATCTGAGGACCAAACATTCTTAGCTCAATTCACTTTCTAAAAAACAGTTTTTCTGTAATAAAATCTCGGAATGCTATTAAAAAACAGCCACTCATTTTGAAAATTACTAAGCATGAAACATAAGGATAGGAGTCAAATAAAAATGAATTTTTTTTTTTTTGTGATGCCAGATTTTAGTGAAACTGTCAAAGTAAAATTTCCAAATTCTTATATTAACCAGATAATATTTTTCTCTTTCAATTACATTTTCCTTTTATTTTACTTATAAAACAAATGTCCACCCTAATTTCTAAATATTGAAAAATAAAATTTAGACAAGTACTTTGGAGAGATAACTGCCATTAGGTTAGATTAATGTTTGAAACATGTTTCATATCAAAACTACCACTATTGAAGTTGATTCAAATATTTTTAATAGAGAAAATAATTCAAGATGAAAAAAAAAATTTCAGGATTTAAAAATAACTTTAGATAATGTATCAAAAGCACCAAGTTATCCTTTCCAATGTGGACCACAATGAAGAAAAATAAATGTGACTCAATACACAATATTATCTGTCTCCTTGTCTGCTCATGTTTTAATAGAACTTAATTTTAAACCTCCAATCACTTTTGATCAGCAAATTCAACTACTTTGAATCAAAGATATATTACCATAGGAAATTATGATTTCTGTAGGTTTGTGTTGGTCATTATAATGGCAAAAAAATATAAAAGCACTTTTTTTTTTCTTAGAGCAATTTAATTGAATTTTGCTAACTTGGAAAAGAAAGTGATTTTTATTTCATGCAGCCTACCAGTTCCTAATTAATTTTTAATTAAGTACAGTAGAACCTCAATTTAATGGACTAATAGGGGGGAGGGTTGTTCATTAAAACAGTTTGTTAATTTGAAGAGCTTTTTTTCATGGCCTATAAACACCCAGCACAGTAAAAAAAAAAATTTTTTAAAATCCATGTTACAACCAAAAACGTTTGTGGTTTCTCTCTTTTTAATATACACACACTTTTCTCTCATTGGAACTACTATAACCTCTTCCCTTTATATATATATATATATATATATATATATATATATCATAATTAAGTAATTTATCAAGTCTAGAAGAAACCTTAACAGAATGCAGAAAGCACTTGATGGCCATTTTGTCCTATATTTGAGGCTCATCAGCAGTGTGCATCCAAACAGTTATGATAGGAGGCAAACCTCTTCATCGCAGAGGCCCGTTGGTATGGTGTTTGCCTCTTATCATAACTGTTTGGGTTTCAATTCTCAGTAGTGGATGTGCACTGCTGATGAGTCCCAAATATAGGACAAAATGGCCGTCCAGTGCTTTCTGCATTCTGTTGAGGTTTCTTCTACACTTGATGAATTACTTAATTATGATTATTTCAAATCCTCCTGATTATTTCTATCTGTATATCCTTGTTTGAACCAGCTTCTAATGCTCTGGACTGAGTGGCTCGGGGATAGTAGTCATAGCTCGTGGAGACACAGTCTTAAGGGTAAAGAGAAACACGGATGAGTTCTACCACAGAATATGTGATCGAGTGGCACTATATCAAGTTTCATTTTTTACCTCTTCGTCCCGTGGCCCATTGGAACAGTTGGTATGATTTTTGCCTGATAACGTAACTGTCCTGGTTTCAATTCTCGGTAGTGGATGCACACTGCTGATGAGTCCCAAATATAGGACAAAACGGCCGTCCAGTGCTTTTTGCATTCTGTTGAGGTTTCTTGACTCGATGAATTACTTAATTATGATTATTTCAAATCCTCTCTCTCTCTCTCTCTCTATATATATATATATATATATATATATATATATATATATATATATATATATATATATATATATATATAGTGTGTGTGTATTTTATTTTTAAGTTACTATATAGTAACTTAAGATAAATTACACATACAGATAGATTTCCAGGAACCTTCATCCTTAAATGCCTGGGTATTAGGTGGGAGCAAAGTGCCAAATTAGAGCAGTTTCACCTACATTATATATCTGACTTAAGTGTAAGTCTAACAGTCTCTGTTGATTGTGCCAGTAAGCAACAGTGGCCAGTTTTGGAACTGACAGACTTTGCTCACTACGCACAAACATTTAGGGTTCCAGCCAGACCATTTCTGCAGATTTTGTCCGTTAAATCCGGGACCATTAATTCAAGGTTTTACTGTATTAATATTGTCACTCCCAAATGTTTCTCTAAGGGAAATAACTCCTAGACTATTAACTGCTTTATATTAATTTCTCCTTATGAAATTAAAGACTAAGCAGAGAAGAATTCTTGATATGTCAGCATTTCTCTCTATCAACCATAGTTTTATACTGGTGACAATACTTGAATAATTAATCTTAGTGATAATTAACATAAAGTAATTAAAATATAAATTCAATAAATAGGAAGTGACTTGGCATCAAAGGCAGTAATTGAGTGTGTATAATATGAAAATAGAAAATCAGTTTGAATTTAAATAACTCTTCTAGAGTAATATACTTTAGACATAACATTTTTATTTTTATAGTTCAATTTTTTTTTATTGTCTCTTTAAGTTAAATCAAATGCAAATTACTTGCAAGAGATTTGTCCTGGGTATGACAATAAACTACATCCAGCAGCAAGGCCTCTGATTGGAAGGTTTTGAGGAGTGTGGAACCACCTCTTAATTGCTGGTGGTCCCAGGTCCACTCTGACCCAGGGTGGTAGGACCTGTTAGGGTCCCAGCTATGAGCAAATAATTAACCTCCAAACTGGAGTCAAAACACTATGAAAGTTTAAAAATAGATTTTGATAAAAAAACAAGTATTACCAGCAATACATTTGTTTCTTGACAAGAACCCTCTTTGTAAAAATATGTCAATGAAACATCAATGAAACCTGACCTAAAAACTAATTTCTTACAAAGAATGCATATTCTATTCATACAAACCTATCCTAAAAAAACTTGACAACATTAAATAAAACCATTGAGGTTGATAAGCCATAAAACAAAATAAGCCAAACAAAACATCATGAGGAATGCAATCATATACTGAAATAAATTTAAACCTGAATATTGTTTTAATACAGTAGAAGGTTTATTTCATTATTATATGTTTGCTATTTGGATCAGCAGACTCATTTTAATTTTAATAGTCAAGTTTTCAGCTGTTGTTATGTCTAGCTTTCTTTACATATCTGTAATTATACTTGGTAACCTACTCTGAATTTTGAACAAAACACTTTATTCAATCTAAAGGAGTAAATTGTTCTCATTTCACTTTCCATGCTTAAACACATGGTCTAGTGAACATATCAGATTCTGTAGCAGTTGCGAGTTCAATTCCTGAGTCTGGTAGTGCCGAAAAGTCACATATTCTTGTTAAATAGAATAAAAGGGATAAGCAACAAAAAAGGTGAATAAGACTGGTGACTATTAACTGATATGAAATATCCCCGAAGCATGGAAAGTGGAATGAGACCAGCATGTTCATCTTGGTTGTTATACTAGCAGTTGTCAGTTCAATTCCTGACTCTGGTAATGCTGAATCTTGGTTGTTATACTGGCAGTTGTTTGGCAGTGTAATGGTTAGCCAGCTTGTCTCGCTAGAACAATTACAACTGAGTATTGAGTTTGATCCTCACTGGGCGCCCCATTCTTTCTCCCTTGTGCAACATCTAAGCTACACTTAGAAAATCACTATACTGGCAGTTATCAGTTCAATCTCTGGGTCTGGTAGTGTTGAAAAATCATAAACTCTCATCCAGTGGAAGAAACAGGCAATTGACACAAAGGTGAATAAGACAGATTTAATGAGAACTATCTGCCCCTGTGGATTGAATAAATGGTTCTATTTGAAATTTCAAGGTTACAGTGTATAGACACCTGAAGAAGGCTAGAGGGTACAATAGCTCAAATGTTGTAAATACAACAACCAAGATAAGTGTGCACATCCAAATAGCGAAGCCTATAATAATGGTAAGTTTTTGCCTTGAAAATTGCCACAAAGCTTATTTCTGTGTTGTATTCATCCATTGTCAGGTGAGCAGCTCAGTTAATATTTTCTAAATATGGAAGGAACTTTCATTTTTTTTAAACAATTAGTAAAACATTTTGTATCTATTTTTTTTTTTTTTCTTTTTTTTAATTTGAATAAATTCTGCTAAAGAAAAGGGATTTTGAATAAAAGTTAAAAAGAAAAAATAATGAGAAAATTTAACTTTTGTATAATATATTTGATTAAATTCAAAAACCTTTAAATTCTTATCAGGATTGGTTTCTTTTGTTTTGGCATCAGAATTTTCAATAAAAGTAAAATAAATAACGAATAAGATAAATAAACAAAAAAGTAAAAAAAAATTTTTTTTGTGAAATATAAGTATTTGTTTCTTATTCAATTGTGTCCTCATCAGTAAATTGTTCAATATCAGATTATAAATCTAATCTGGATTGATCACTTTTGCAAAACTCTTGATCAAGTAATAAACCACTTAACCATTTTGAAGGAGAAAAAAAAATTAAATTTATCCTCTTAAATTAAAGAGCTTCTGAAGTACTTGCTTGATGCCCTGACTTAGAACTGAATTTTCATTAATTACAACATAAATGTGTGACGAATGGAAATTTTTGACATT